CAAACTGAAGTGGGGAATGGACAAGGCTTTGGCTTCGCTGATCTTCAGCTTCTCATCTAGGATGGTGTTATTCCAAAGAATTTTTCAGTATTTAGTATGTGTCCTCATGCAGAGGTTGTTACCTCATTATCAATGTATTTTCAAAGGCAGCAGGTCATATAGAAACTCTCTTGTCTTAGTGGGAGAATCATGATTCTCGTGGCTCAAGGGTTATTTTTGTGTGTGATTACAAGATACTTGTGACTTGAGTTTGGTTTATACAGAATAATGATTTCTTTATCTCATTCAAGGAGCTCTATAAAGATCATGGAAGAATCAAAATCTTTGCCTGAAGGTGCCAGCAGTTTGTGTAGTATAGCAAAAAATAATCACACGGAAGCACATCTACTGCCTGCCAGTAAAAGCAGAATTCCCATGTGTACTTTTTGTATCATTTATAAATTTGTATCAGAAATACATTTGCTGCGATGCATTCAATACAATGCGATGCATTCTCCCTTTTACCAATGTGGAGGTACTGGGAGCATCCACTGTACCGTGCTTAGGTGGCAAAGCCCATGGCTGATTTTGGCTGTTAGTGAAATGAATTCTTCACAAAGCTGAAGTAACTTAATAATGTTGATAAATGGATGGTGATCCGGTTTTACACAAAACCGGGATATCTTGCCATAATAAACCTATGCAAAGTATCTTAAGAATGCGAGAAAGAAACACCAAGAAAGAAATGTAGTTTAAGCATATGCAAAGTTTTGTATTGGCTGATTGAAGTTGAAAATAATGTCTTGACATCAAGTGAAATGGGATGGGGTGATAAAGGACCTCTAACTAAAAGGTCGGGTCTGCTTCATGAGGCCATTCATTACAAAAAATTTTTGCAGTAGGAAAAAAAATCAAAGAGTTTTATTAGGTGAATAAAAAAAATTGAAAGTTAGCTAGGAAAACATTGCAAGGGTAGGACTGCTACAGTATAAAGAAGGAATTTAACTAAGTACAGCTCATTAAAAAGGAGTCAGATGTTTATAAAAAACATTAATTTCTCACTGCATTTGAAATTTCTGTTAAAATATATTTATATATTTAATTACTTATTGCTTTATTTTTGCAGGTTTCTAAGGTCAATTTAAATTATTTCTGAATGTGTTTTTTTTCCTCCATTCGTCTATACTGAAGTTTTAGCCTCTGGAGTACCTTGCATTATTTTGTTATCATCATGTGGGCTTTTATTCTGTCTCTATTACTTAGGGTCTAGGAATACTCTGTATGAAAGAATATGTTTAATTGTGGAAAATATATTTTTGAAGACACCATACCAACTTATATAGGTACAGACACCTTTTTTGCTTTGGTATGTTTTGCAGGGTTACAATGCTGAAATACTAGGGCCTGAGCAGTGAGACCCTGAACGAAAGTTGACCTCTAGGTGAACCTCACAACCTAACGATATACCCAATATGTATAATATTGATCACATATGTAATATATAACCTTATGAATATATGCCAATTTATAAAAGCTTTTGTTGTAATGCTTATAGAGAATTGCTGTAATGCTTGCTGTAAGATAATAGTTGTGTAACGGTAGCCCCACTTGCCAAAAAGAGACATACCTATCTCAAACCTTCAAACAGACCTCTACGTGACAGAAGGTAGCAGGGCGGTGACGGGCTTTGTTTAGAGAAGCATAATCAAAGATAACCAGATATCTTTACTTCTTAATCTTTTCTTGGGCTCTGGCCAAGTGCGGGAAAAAGTTAACAAGGAAGAAAAACTACACCAGATGTTTTTCGCAGCTTAAGATATAAAGTTGTTTATTTAACTGTATAAAAGCGGGGGCCGTTTGCAGGGAAGTTTGGAAGCCTCCTCTATACAGTGGGTGCACTGTATAGAGATTTCCCAATTGCCGGGATGAGTTCTCCAAATCCTTCGCTGTAAATGGGCTCCCCAGCATCTGCGGATCTGGATGATGGTAATACAGGGCACTTGGTGATGTATCTTTCTTAATCACTATCGCTAACTCTATGTAGTAATGATTAGGTGCATTACCTTATTACTATTGCTTGCTATAGTAGTTTGCTTGTTGTCTTACTGCTTTACCTTATCTTGCTTTATTTTCTCTGTACTATTTTCCTCATTACTTTGTCACTTTGGACATAAGTAAAAGTAAGTTTACTTTTTTTTGGTGCCTGTGTCCTCTGTGCTATCCCCATCGACTGGCAAAACAAATGCAAACTTTCATATTTAAACTTTAGTGGAATTAAAGTGAAAACTTCATTGAAAGCTTTGGGCTTGTATGAATAGGGAAAATTACTCTAGAGCCATTAACCTCATTTTGCATATTCAAGTAATTAAAGAAAGGGAAAAAATAAGGTGGAGGCATAATTTCCACTAATAAATATTTGTTCTTATAATTTTAGAAATTACAGACTGAAAAAAGTCATGTCACTAAAGTTCAGGAAGAATAATAAATAAATAAATAAATATAATTCCATTAGGGATTAAGTTAAAAAGACCCTTAAGAAAGCACTGCTACATGACTGAAGGAAGAAGAGTGTTATGAAGAGCATCTGGGTGGGATGGATGTCATTAACAAACCACTGCACCTTTCAGATGGGATTTTCAGAAGAGCGTGATGGCCTTGGGTGCTCATGACCTGTGGGCTCTCAGAGCAGCTGGCTCAACTGCCTGGGGTCCGACATCACGGTGGCACATGCCCCTGACAAACTGCAGGGAGGTGTTTGTGCCTCCTGCAGTGTGCAACCAGGCAGGAGGCATGCATTGACTTCCATCAGCTCCAGAGAACCTGGCACAGTCCTGTGCTTTGTGGGTAAGAAATAATGAGCAAAAGTTTGTGTTTTTATTACCAACCAGGTCAAGATTAGGCAAGTTGAAGTCACATGTTGCTACAAATAACAAGACATGGAGAAAACTGGGATGCTTGTGTACAGACTACTCATGTGTCTACAAGTAGTCCAATATCTAGTCCATATATTGATATTTGTTATTCTAGTGCTCTACTGGCCCTATATTTATTGCAAATAAATTGCAAATTGATTCTGAAGGATACCAGTAAATGTTTCATTTGTATTCTTTTATTTTCTCCTCATTTAAATTAATATGAGCTCCTCCTCTGCTGTTAAAATGTAAGAGATGAGAAATGATGTTTGAATAAACACTGTAGTAATTTATGTAATGCCCTGGCACTTTCAGTTATCTGGCATCGTCCAGTGTTCCACTAGATGGATTTTCAAAAGCTGGCTTCTGTATTTCACACCTGCAAACTACAGAAATATTTAGTAGGAAGCACTGTGTGCCTGCAATTAATTCTGAATGCAGAAGTGAAATCTGGCCCCGTGCATCAAAGAGCTTGGAGGCCATTTCTCTGGTTATTTGCGCAGCTGACTGTATTTGATCAGAGCTGACGTCCTCAGCAGTATGGTGAGGTTGACATGCTTACAGGAATCCGACTGCATTACATTGCAGAATGAATAAGTCTAAGGCTTTTCCCTACTTCTTTTAGTGCTTTTCACTACTAAAAAAACCAGAATGAGCATTGTTTGGTTCCCTGCGATCCATCTAGAATTGTGACAATTATATATAAGGTCCGTGTGAACAAGGTTCCAATGTATATTTCAAGGGTATGTACTTAGTTATATTTAGGCTTTTTTCATTTTGGGGCTTGCAACTTCCTGGGACTAACTGCATCCCAAATAGTTGTCAGTCTCAGTTCTTATGCTGATATTACAGTTTCTTTGTCCCTTGCAGATCAAGATTTTCTGAACAAGTCCACCTCAAATCCTTTCATGCAGTGTCATCCAGGTTTTTTTAACTCTTTTTGCTTCTCATGGAGTTTCCTTTCCCTTGAACTCTGTTTATACCAGATACACATTGCTTTAATTTCATGCCTATTTTCTGTATAGCCTTATGAAATTAAAACGAAAAAAAATAGAGCATAAAAAATGCAGAGGGCTTACTAGAACAAATGTTTAGTAATAGGACTGATTTGTGCTCAGAGTACAATATGAATAAACTGTGGGACTGCTTACATGACTAAGACACTCAAAATTAAGTGCCTGGCCCTGTATATTTTGTTAAAATATGTATTACACTGCTTCAGCTGGTAGCTCAAAGAGCAAAAGTAGTCTCTCTGGAAAATACTTGGAAGCATCTGCATTTTTCACACCCTGTGGATCTGTTGCTAATAATGATAGTGCCAGTTTCACAGTACTCTGAGGGGAAGAAAGCAGGTGGGAAGGGAGCACCAAGGAGCAGCAGACACCGTGGTTTGCTGTGGTCACTGTCCTGCTACAAGTCTAGGAGTGGCTGATGAAAAAACACTGATCAAACGGCATAGGAATATGTGTAAATAGCCGTAAAGGTAACAGTAATAGCAGAGTTTCTATGAGGGGCAGGCCTGGTATAAAGCACCTCTAGATGTCACTGTAACATTGTAAAATGTAGATAAGAGAATGCTACAAAGCTGACTTTATGGTTTATATGCTCTGGTTACTGGTAACTGTTTCGGTCAGCCTGTACTAAATTATTGGATCATTAAAAATGCTGTTTCCAGATGTTGATTAACAGCAAAAACCTCTTTGAAATCAGGCAATAAGACTGTTACTGAACGTCTTACTAGAATATTAAATATTCCTAAATTTGGTTTAACTAGCCTGGTTTTTAACAGCAAGAGCTAGAGCAGAGCAACAGCTCGTTTCTGGATGTCTTTTTCTTTCAGTCCCTGAGGCTCAATCCTGATCTTTTCTGGGCTGTGTGAATGCCAACACTGATGTTGATTGCAACTGAGATAAGGTCTCTTGCTTTATCCTGGTACTAATCTGATCAGCTAGATAGTGATTAAAATAAGGATCACCATTTATAGGAAGAGCATGAGTTAGAACACAGAGTACTTGGATTTGACCAAAAAAATCAGGCAGCAATTTCATAAGGAGAAATACAACATGAACACTGTATACACTGTCTAATACATCAATGGCTTCTCCATAGGTCATCAAAGAAAAGTCACATTTGGATGAGATGGGAACAAAAGAGAAGAAGCCACCAGATTCAACAGGTTAGAATATTTTTCTTCTGATCAGTTTCCTGAGGCTACAACTGCATAGAAATGGCTGTTGCTCTCCTGAGCAGCTCCAGTGATGTTTGTTGTGTTATATGTGTGCTCATCAGCATAAGTAAGAATTATCCAACCAACATCAACCACTTTTCACATGCCTGTGCACATGATGGCAAACTGCTCAAAAAAGTGCTTTGCATTAGGAGCTTGTTAACCTTGACTTGGCTGACAATAAATTTGCATGAGAAAAAGGTTTTTCAGTGCTGTGTCTGAAAGGAAGAGTTTGTGACCCGTGATAGCCCTGTTTCAAAAAAATAGTCTGCTCTTGCTTAGGAGACATTTACACTGACCTTGAAAAGTGGGAGAGGAAAGCAAGTGCCTAATTCAAAATGCAGCAGAAGTTATGCTAAGTATGCAACCCTACTTTAATATTGTTACTAACTGTTAGAGAATTACTGAGAGATTCCCTGGTAATCTGTTTACTTCCAGAAGGGGCCATCCAGAAGAGCCAGTCCTGCTCTCAAGCAGAAGAGGTTGATAAGCTCAACAAGGAAAATGCTGAGAGGGAAAGTTCTGTTCTGCTTCAAAAAGATTCTCTCAAATTTCATGCTGAAGGGCTAGAGGAGAAAGGAGAGAGTGTGGCTTTTGAAAGCTATTACAAATACAGGAGAAGCTCTCTTCAGAGATCCTTCACTACAGAAAAGCAGCAAGAAGAAGATGTTGTTGATGATGCTTGTCAAAGGATAACTGGGCAGGAGATAGATAGTGAGTCCCCAACAGATGGGGAGAGCGAGAAACATCAGATGGCTGGAGATGAAAGACAAAAGGAGAGGGAGAAAGAAGGGGAAGGAAATGCTGATAAGAGTGAAAAAGAAGTTGAGGAACAACCAGCTCCTTCCCAAAATGAAGACGAGGCAGGACAAAGCCATGATCAAGAGGCACCAGAGGGAAGGTAAGGTCTGAAGCTCAGGCTGCACATTCTGGAGACCCCCATGCTGTAGAAAATTGTGTAGTTCAAGTTTCAAGTCAAAGTGGCTGATTAGTATAAATATTGGTGAAAATCCAACCCAATACAGAAGTGTAAAATGAGCTTCTCTCTCTGATCTGACCTCTAGGCTGAAATTATATCCTTAAAAAAGACGGATAAACAATCTAGCAAACATGGTACTAGCAGTATGCTTTGGTTGTTTGCTTGGGAAGTAGATTAGGAATGTGGGAATTATGTTAGGCTATTAATCTCTGAGGAGAATTTTCCTGTTGTTATGTTTGTATAATGCAGCATCATATAACCTATGAGCAAAGTAAGATTAGATTAGGCCATGTACCAACTGGGAATTAAGTTACTGCAAAATGTAGTAACTTAAGTGATAACATAAAACTGTGAAACTTTGCCCAGGCAATTAAACTGATAAATGTATTTGCTGTAATTCTTTCTTTGCTGCATCGATATATAGCCCTTCAGGGATAAACCAGTTTAAACTTTCAGGAACCTATATGAACAGAGTGAAATCCCAATGCTCTCCCATTGCTTTAAAGGTGAGATTGATAGCCAGTTGTTAAATCTAGAAGAACTTAGGTGAGGATTTCTGTGATGGAGGAACATTGTGCTGTCATGATTAATTTAGGAGTCATTTTTATTTCTTAAAGTGAATATTAGAACACTTTATTTTACACCATGAAGAAAAATAACCTAATATTATCTGAATGCAATATATGTGTAGGCATTTTTCACTTATATTTCTAAACTTGTTCTGCTTTAAGTGTACCCTGCACTAATGCCAAGTTTTATCCTTGCAGGTGTAAAGGCTGTGAAAAAGGTACGAGAAATTATATTAGTGGTAGCAGCAAGCATCGAGCGAATGATGAAGGCCTAATCAAAGATGAAAACAGAAACAGCAATCTAGATGCAGAAAGTGGTGATGGCATATGTTAACCTAAAAAAAGATCTTACAGGAAGTATTCCTAAAGGCAAAGCATTTGATTCCACTGCTATTACAGTGACAATCAAAGAGAGACATTTGTAGAAGGGAATGGTTTCATGATTGTAATTAGTACGGGAAGAGGTGTGCATGGTAGCTCTGATGGGAAGCAAGTTGTTCATGGACCGCATCGTAAGCTAATGGGAAATAACACAGTTCTTTTTGCTTCCATCTTAGAAACTTCTGTTCTGGCAGAAATTAGTCACAACTAATTTGCTTCTGCCACAGCTACTCCACTTAATACTATCATCTTTCCCTCTTCTTTTAACAACAAAGCTAAAACTCATAAGTATAGAATGGTGGGAGAAATTTTATCATCTGTGGCAAAATTGGTTGACCTGCAGAAGTGCTGAGAACATGTGTTAACACAGAATCTGCACTGCTCTGGATGTAGCCTGCAAAGCCAGCTTGTTCGTATTCGTACTGTTACAATCTGAAGTGAGAACAACTGCAGCCTATAAAATAAAGAAATACTGATTTTTGTGTGGAAGCCTGACTGATGCTGTTGAACAGTCAGATAAATGGTGCTCAGGCACCGAACTCTGAAGCAGTGCTTTCTGGAGTGAAGCAGAGGGTTCTAATATTAGACCTCCAGCTTGAGAATTTCAGTGCCAATCCCTGTATATAAAATGATGGCACATGAGAGGATGGCCTGAAGGATTTGAAGATACATGTCTGTGCATGTGCATTCATGGGACTCAGAATGATTTTCTTTGCTTTGGGAATGGGGGGAGAGTGGGAAAGGGAAACATTTATTAAATGTTTGTTCTAGACTCTTGTAGCAGGAGACAAGAGATAATGTACTAAAACTTTAAACTCCATAACCTGCTCTGGGCTCTGGCAGATTGTTAGGGATGGCATTAAGGTTAGAATGTCTCTCTTGGAGCATCTTTGATCTGTAATAGGAGGTCATTCTTGAATAGGGAGAAGTCCTCTCTGGTGTGCAGGAAAAGAAAAATAGAGCGTCTGTCACTGGGAAAATCTTGAAGGCTAAAACTTAGGCATAGTTTTAAAGAGGCACTCTGGCCTCTTTAAAAGAACACTTCCTTGTCTAAAGTTTGGTAAGACTTGGGAACTGAGCTTTCAGAAAGACATTTTCTTCTGTCACTTACTTGATGGGGCCTTCAGAGTTTATGTTGTTAAATTCTGCCTTTAAGTTAGGCATTTTCTTGGCATTTTGTGGGTCTCAGTGACACACAAAGGCCCATACTTAAGGACATGCAATTCATACTCTGCAGAATCCCAAGTAGGTGGCAAACTTCCAGAAGCCCTAGCTTTTCACAATTCCTTGACCATGAACTAACTTCCTGACCATGTAAGTTATTAACACTGTCAAAATCTAGGTACACAGCTGGTGTCCTGGAAAAATGGACATTCACTGTGAATAGGGACAATCTACTGCTGCATTAATGACCAAAGTGTTCCTGCCAGCTACCTGCTGTCATGGGGTTTTTTTTGTTTGTGTTTTTAATCATTTTCACTGGAGTAATGAATGGTTCTAAAATTGCACAACAAGCCCCACACAAAAGGGAGCTGGCATTCCAAACCAGAGAGCTCATGTTGAAACACTGGGGCTCTAGCCCTCCCAACCAGTTGAAGAAGTATTTGTCACCTTGGTCAGCCAAAGGTCACTCTTGGGAATATCAATCAAATGAAAAACAACATGGGTATGAAATTGGAGTCGCAACACCCTGCAAAAAATCCAAAGAGAAATTAGGCATGCAGGGCTGGTCTCCAGCAGGATTTTGACATCAAGACAGCAGAATGGTCCAGCACATGGAGGTCCAGACAATAATTCCAGAGACCTGCATTTGTATCGAAACTGCATAGCTGCTGCAGTGTGATGTTGGGAAGCAATCCCTTCTCTGTGCCCCTCTTTACCTGTTATCTGACGTCTCTTTTTAAGGAAACAATTTCTTCAGAGCAGCACGTGACAGTTACCATGTGTCCTCCCACACTGGGTCCTGAGCCATACTGCCTGCCAGGGTGAAACTCCCTTGTATGAATGAGCTCTAAATGTAATCTTTAAAAGTGATGACCACATTGGAGAATGACAAGTTGTTTCAATCAGTAGAGAAGGAGATTCTTCACTATGAACAGCAAAAGTTGGGAGATGATAGCCTCTTTTAGCTATGCCTAGAAGAGACCTCGGTTTCTCGTCCTACCCCACTGGAGAGCTGCAGTACATACTCACCTATTAATGGTCCCTGAGAAAAAAAATAAAATAAGAAAATCAGAGAAAAAGCTGAAATCCTTCCAAACAAATTGCTGAGGCTCCTTGTGGGCATGAAGCTACATTAGCTTAGTCTAGCAGTCTTCACTTTGCCTCTTGCTAGTGCTGTCCAGAAGATACTAGCTTACCAAAGGAGTCCTTGTCTTAGTAATGCAGGTCCCCAACAACACCCTATTTTCTGAGACAGAGCTCTTGAAGTAAAACCCTTCTTAAATAGCAAAGAAAAACCTATCTATAAAACTTACAGTAGGTGTATTCAGTTCTCCAGTGAGCTTATCTGGGGAAAAGAGGGACTAAAATATGAGATAGACAAGCACTGCATGTTACCACTCATATGCTATCTGCCTGTTTTGTCTTTTGTAGATGATAGTCCTACTCCACCAGCACCATTTGATCATCGGATTGTCTCAGCCAAAAGGGTGGGGATCAGCAGTTACTATAACGTCAGCGAGAATGAAATCCTGGGAGGGTAAGTCAGGTGGACCCAATCAGCATGGAAACCAAGGCAGAAAATTACAGCCAAGCACCCCGGGAGGTTGAATGGAAGCAACACGCCTTACTAGAGCCAAAGTCATGAAAGTCTAAGCTCTAACAGTGCTTTAGAGAGGGATTAAAACAGGAGGCTGATTTTATTATGTGAGTGAATTTTGGCTTAAGGTTTGGTACCAGCAGCCTTGACTCGTATTTGATATTGTTCTAGGTCAGCCCGCAGCCCTCAAGCTTTATGATGGAGCTCGTAGGATGCTGTAATACTTTACCTCACATTGCAGCCAGCAGGACACAGAGACATGTAGCCTTCTTTCTCTCAGTGGATCTCATCCCTGAAAACACATGCATGTTTTCAGACACATCAGCAGGCTAATCTGACAGACCATGTAGTTACTTGATCTCTTATGCTGACATTGTTTAGGAGAGAGTGATATTGTCATTTTGGATGGCAGCATGGTCTTGGGTAAGGCTTTGTTTCATCTTGAAATAGCAACTCTTCCTTGGAGGAGAAGGATGAGACTAAGAGGGGCAGATTGTGCACATAAATGAGTCACTTTCCTTACAGTATGTTGACTTCCCCAGCATTAGTCATTGCATGTTATGAGGTAAGTATAGTGAATCATACAATTGGGATAATATCAGCTAGAACAGTGTGTGATTTTGGTGTGCTTAAATGAGTAGTAGCAAGTTTAATCTAAACAGCAGCGATAGAGCAATTGAAATGGAACCCAGCAGGGAGAGGATAATTTCTATTGTTTATAATCTAGCTTACATTCAGGGCAAACACCAGTACCACTGGATGATGTATTACTTTTTTTTTTTCTTTTTTTTCCCTAGAGGGCGATTTGGTCAAGTGCATAAATGTGAAGAGAAAGCAACAGGTCTCAAATTAGCAGCCAAAATTATAAAAGCAAAAGGTGCTAAACAGAAGGTTGGTAGAGTGTGGTATTAGTCTTTTGTTCCCCAATGGATTCAACACTGTTCTTCAGCTACACAACAGACCATGGCCAAGTGGCTCACAAACCATCACACTCATAGGACCTGCTGGATTACTGTTGCCTCTAGTTCTATTTCCCTTCTCCTACAGAGCTTCTAGTAACTCATTAAAGTCCTCTTTTTAAAACAAAAATATTTTTTCCAACTGTTTTTTCAGCTCCTTGTGTTTCTTTGGGTTTTCTTTTTTTTAAATTATTTTTTTATTTACTTTTTTTCCCTCCTTTCCCCTGCTGCTGTTAATTCTATTAGTGTTTTCTTTAGTGGTAAAAACATTTGTCAGGCCTGTGACACAGCGTATTCCCTCCCAAGCACACTTCAGCCTTTGCTGCAATGACTTGGTGTCACTATGAGGGATGCTGATAACAGGTACGATCTGTGCCCCTGACATCAGCACAAATACAGATGAGAAGAATTAGTCTGGCCTGTTTAGCAAACCTCATGGCCATTTGGGGCTTGCTTTCACAGGGAAGACATGCATAGCATTCTGTGTGTGACAGCGGTATCATTAAATGGCATTCAAGGGTGGGATTTTTCTCAGCTAACTGGTGTTGCTGAGGTATGGCTGTGGCCAAGCTAGTCACCAAGTATTCCCCTTACAGTCAATGGAGAGAGACTGGCACTGCTGGAGAACAATTCAGCCCATCCTAAACTGCATGTCTAAAATAATTGGGCTGAATGGAGGTAGCAGTCTCTCTCACCTGACTGCAAAGGGAGGTTTTGAGGACTGTCCTGGACTTTTCTTATGCAGCTTGATTTTGTATACCTACAGGTGGCTGAAATAAGTCCTGTTCTGCTTCTCTCTTTTCTTTACATCCCTGTGAACCCACCACTTGTCCATGTGGACTCTCCCTTTCGTTTTCCCCCCAAATATCTTACTACTGAAGCAGCCCCCCTTTTGAGCTCTGAGCTCAGTCTAGTACTCCTGTAGCCTTGACATCTGCCACTCCAGGAGCAGTCAAAGGAAAACACTGGGTTTGGTTGCCACGAGTTCAAACATTAAGATAATGTAGATGTCTGGTTCAAACTATGTCCTGTTTCATGTAGCTTTCTTAGAGAAAAAGCTTCTGAAACAATACTCATGACTCTTTACAGGATGAAGTAAAGAATGAAATCAGTGTCATGAACCAGCTGAATCACGTGAACCTCATCCAGCTATATGATGCTTTTGAATCAAAAAATGACTTTGTCCTAGTCATGGAATAGTAAGTGTGTTCTTTTCTTTCCATTTCTGTCTTTACCACTTTTGCTAGAATTGTCTGTTTCCTTCCTATTTTCTCCTGAAATTAGAAGCAGAGCTTCTTACAGGTAGAAAGAACGTATAAAAGATGATGTCAGGAATAAAAAAAAATGGAATTTAAGAGTTTTCCCATGCATTTATCCATTTTTTTCCAGTGCCATGCCACATTCCTGGTGCTATAAAGCCACTGCTCCATTTGAAGATAGAGTTGTGTTATTTATCTTTCTTTAATTTCAAGTTTTAATTTGTGTCAGCTAAGAAACAGATCTCTCAGAACATCTCCAGTTCTGGCAGGCAAATGAGAAGACATCTTATGCTAAAGAGCAGCCAGCTGTAGGTGTTTTGTCTTATCCTTATACTGCGTGCCTGAATGGATAAACCTTTTTTTTTATGCTGAGTTATCAGTCTAATTAGGCACCAAGGAGCTGCCTTAAAGTCAAGTTAATCAGATGTTGTGTTATGGAAGCCAAAAAGGGCATAACTAAAGCATTGAAAGGCATGGCAGAAAGTTCAAAGTTATGTGAGTCTGGCTATTCTGGACATTCTCAGGTAGTCCTCTGAATTTGGTCTACACGATTAGCATATCACAAAAGGTAAATGTCTGTGTAACTATGAATGGGTAAGCTGGAGGTATTCTGAAATGTGATGAGAAATTAAGAAGTGATTTTTGCTGTCCTTAGATAGTTTCAAATTGAAATTTTGGATCATGTCCCTCTTAAACTCTGAGGGAGGAGACTGCAAATTTGAGTGCAGATTCTCCAGCATGTTGTCTTGGTTTTCCATGCGACTTCATTAATTTCACTGGTACAAAATGATGACTCAAGACAGCATAAGATTCAAATTTCAAGACTTTCATACTTATCAATGGATGGGAGACTGGACTCTCAGACCTTGAAGAAGTTCAGGCCAGTATGCATCAGAACTCAGTTCTTAGTTCAGATCAGAGTACAAGCTCATATTGTAGACTCACCTTACTGAACTTGACTGTGACTGATTAAAATAATCAATAGTATAAATTCTATAGTACTCTAACTGCATGGGATTGTATTTGGAGATGGTCACCACTTTATTATCTTTCTCTCATCAGTGTGGAAGGAGGAGAGTTATTTGACCGAATTATTGATGAAAACTGCAGTTTGACAGAAATGGACACTATCTCGTTCATAAAACAGATCTGCGAGGGAATTCAGTACATGCACCAAATGTACATTCTTCATTTGGATCTCAAGGTAGAGAACTGAGATATATGTTTTGTGCCATGACAGCTGTGGAAATTTTTATTCTTGATGGTAGACTATCCAGCTTAGCAGATTCCCATGGCATAAACAACACAGGGCCTTATTCTGCTTTCCTCAGACCAATGTGTATGTATTTAACCACACTGAGATCAGTTAAATTACTACAGAAGAACCACACTGAGATCAGTTAAATTACTACAGAAGTAAATTAGATGAGAATTGTGGTCATATGTCATCAAACCTCATAGTGCTTGAATTTTCCACAGACTGAATTTACAGAGAGCCAGCAGCTGACTACAGATATCTTTCTATTTTCAGTTTTGATATTTGTATCTCAAGATATTGTGCAAATATTTTATTCAACTGCACAAGATCTCTGTTTTACACATCAGCCATGGGGTAGCAATTATCCCCATTTTTTTACCATGCAGAAACCAAGGTATGAGTGAGTGGAACTAAATTCAAGGGTCATTCAGGATCAGTGGAAACCCTGCACATCTTTCTGAGATGCCCACTGTCATGGTCATGAAACAGCATCAATAGATGGCTAGCTTAAGGGAAAATACATTAATATGTACTTGCTAAAATTAAAGAAATAAAAAGTCAGTGACTGATGTAACAAATACAGTACGTATATGTTGGGTTAGGCAATAGCTGCTAGTGCAGCTGAAAGCCCAGAGAAGTGTGGCAGATTGTCTGCCACATACTTGCTTAGTTATCTGAACTATTCAGCTATATACACAAAAAGTCCCCTCCCTTCCTTTTAAAAACAAATCCACCAGTTGCACATTCTTACTCTGGTTCACTGTTAATGGTTCAACTGTCACCCCTTAGAAAACATTTATTGTAAAAGTATTTTTCATTAGACTGTACATTTGAGCTGGCTCTTTCTCCCTTAACCCAAATTTTTATCAAATCATAGACTTGTTTCTTACCTCTGTTTAGTGCAGGAATAAAATGGAATGATGTCTTTAGTTTTATGACTGGCTATAAAGTCTCATAGTAATCCCTGAGCTTTGCAACAAAGCAAAAAGAAACAAAAAGTGCACAAGATAGTTTACTTTTTGTTTATTATGGCTGCTGGTTTTGGCTTGTAATAACTGAGTTAATATAGTACATCTTTAATGTTGTTAGCATATATATTCTTGCAGTGGTTAAGCAAATGAGCAGATGCTTGTTCGGACTCACTTCAGTTGCTAGTCAATGACCAGACTCACTTTTCTCTTTGTAAACATCCGGTTACCTAGAAACCTGTCAAGCAGAAGTTCACATGGTTCTTTGGGGCACATTAATTATGTTCTTGGAGATGGTGCAGTTTTAGCAAGATCCACATACAATCCAAGAAGTTCTTCCCAGAGACCTCTTTTCATGTGCCTGCCAGCTATGGCTGCTCCCTTCTGTTTTGCTTGTTCATAGGTTGCTGTCAGTAACAAATTAGTTGGGGGAAGAAAACTTGAAATTAAAAGAAAATCATTCTGACCATAATCATCCAGGACCTCAGAAACTATGGACATATGGTGTTTAAAAGTCCTACATCTAAAATGAATTAGTAATGGTGACAAAGGTTAACTAATGTTTTAAGTGTTGAGGGCTGTTTTGTTTCAAAGAGGACTCAATGAGCAACAAGACAGAGTAGCTATAAAACTGCTGGCAGTGAATATGAGACTATTTTAGGTATTTACATTTCAAAGACAATTGGCCAAATTCTCTTCTCGGTCCCTTCTGTATGAATTTGGAAGTTAATGGATTCCTGCCAGGGAAGTGAACAGCATTTGGCCCTATGAAAATCCAGAGGGATTTACCCTGTGAATCCTACCTTTTGCTAAAAAATCTAAGAAAACCATAAAGTTGATGTGGCTAGCTTAATATATCAGTGTTCGATCAGTTACTGCCAGAACATTAATGAACTCAGAAACTTAAAGCTGTAAGATTAACTTCAAAGCTCATCAACTTTAAGAAAAAAAAAAAAAATCAGTGTCATCTTATTAAATCACAGTGCCAGCATCCTGAAACCCCTCTTTGGAAGTCTGTATTGTCTGTCCAACTCCTCCTAATAAGTTCTTTATCTGAACTGCTGCCTTACAGTAAGTTGAAAAGTGAAGGAAAAGAAAAAGCAGTTGCAAGGCACAGAATACATGACCTGTTTGATAGCAGGGGGTACCCATGCAGAGAAATCTGACCAAGGAGGAAAGCAAAAAGTGCTTATGTTTGCCATGTTTTCAGTGTTTTTCTCCCTACGGTTTGCTAAAAGACCATTTTTTTGTACTTTTTTATCATTAAAGTGTTTTTTGATTTCTCTTTGCAGCCTGAGAATATCCTGTGTGTGAATCGTGCAGCAAATCAAATAAAAATTATTGATTTTGGATTGGCAAGAAGGTACGCTCATGTGTTCTTGCTAATCATAAATGAATTAGGAAACAATGAGAAAAAGTATTACATCTCTACAATGACATGTTTGATACATAATGGTCTCCTGCTGTTCTTAGGACAAATTTAAAGTGTGTCTTTAAGCAGGGAATATATTCCTTTTAATAAGGAATGTTTGGAACTGAGTAAAAAAGATTTGTTCTGAAGCCTTTTTTTCAAGTAGAAGGTTGAAAGAGAGCTGATTCTGACTAAAAATATATATAAGTATCTTGGCACAGCTGAAATGGACAAAACCAGTGGTACATTTTGTCTGGCCTCTTGTCTCCTATGTTATGAGATTCTTCAAAAGAGAGTAAGAGACCATCAAGGGCTGTTACAATATATCACATGCTATATCAGCTTCTAGTTTAACTAGGTACCATAACCTCAGTGAAGGATTTACTGTTTAAAAATTCCATGCCTGTGATATGGAGAAGTCCCAAAAGGATGATAACAGCTGCTCTGAGGAGTCCTTGAAATATGAAGTTCTTCCTTTGTATAGCAGTTGGGTTTTGCCCTAAAGTATGATATAAAGCTTGCAAACATTTTTCATTCTATATATGGGTGTATTTATTTTTATTTTGTACCTCTGTCTGTCCTTTTTCTGAATTTCCTGTATGCTTCTAAAATCCTGGTAAGTGCTAGACAGCTTACAGTGCAACTTTAATTAGAGATGTAATTGATGTCCTCTGTTAATGTTTCCATTTCCTAGATATAAACCCAGGGAAAAACTTCGAGTTAACTTTGGGACTCCAGAATTTCTTGCTCCTGAAGTTGTGAATTATGAGTTTGTCTCCTTTCCTACAGACATGTGGAGTGTAGGAGTCATTGCTTATATGCTGTAAGTAGGATTCAGTATCTGCTTTGTAAGCTGTTTCTAGGTTGAATGGTGTCAGTCATCCAAATTTGTTGTTATACTGGAATATTGACAAAATCTGTACCCAAAATAGAAAATGTAGTCTTCTTTCCAAATTCCATATTCAGTGATCTCTCCTGTTTTCCAATCACCATGAACTTCTTTGTTTCATTACACATCTCTCATGAGTGTTTGAGCTTCACACTTACAGAACAGTATAGAGTGCTTGGTAAGTTCTCAATAGTACGTGCAAGCGTGGTCAGAGGTCTAGAAAATATGACATACCATGAAAGACTGTAATGCTTGGTTTGTTAGGGAAGAAGGGTGATTATTTAAACGTGTAAATAGAAGAGAGAATGGGAACAGTCTGGAGACTTTATTAGACAATGACATGTTGCAAGATAGGCCAGGAGTGACAGAACAACCATAGGTGGCACATTGGAGATCAAGTATAGGAAGGGGAAAAGACAGCAGGATTGAACATATTTCTTTTTACTTTAGCCTCAGTGGATTGTCTCCTTTTTTGGGTGATGATGACAATGAGACCCTCAACAATATCCTGTCCTGTAACTGGGATTTTGAAGATGAAGAATTTCGAGGTGTTTCTGATCAGGCCAAAGATTTCATCTCAAAGCTTCTCATCAAGGAAAAATGGTATATAATCCCTGTATCTCTGAAATGTGTGTTCCATGCCATCATGTCACAGTTGTGTCACTTGTGCTGCTACATTGCAGAACTATCATGACTTATCTAAGTTTTTTATGTCCATGTGGAATATTATAGTGCCACTTCATTGATGTTCATTGTGTCCATAAAATGTTCTGAAATTGCCTGAATGCATTTTTGCTGTGAAGCAAAACGTACTTCATGGATTAGCTGTCATGTGGCATAGTGTCCTGAAATTACAGCATTGCATGATGGCAGAACACATCACTTGTAGAAGATAAGTGTTGAACTGTAAGATTCTGGGCAAAACACTTAATAGCATTCTGATTTTCCTTCAGCTGGAGAATAAGTGCAACTGCTGCCTTAAAACACCCATGGTTGTCAGACCACAAGCTCCACTGCAGACTCAAGGTCCCTAAATTTAAATATCCTTGTGCATTGTAGATCTACTGCTGCCTTCTTGTGTTGTCACATCACTATTTTCTTTGACATTTTTCTTAACTGTTTTTGAGTCTTCCTTGCTGCTGCATTTCTTGCCACTGTGAGTCACGTGTGTCCCCTTGCATTTTTTTTAGCTGCTATAATTTGCATGCTCACACTTCCTCCTTAGTTCTTGGACATCTGAGAAGAAATATAAGATCGTGCAACTGCTGTGGATTGCTGAGTGGATCCATTTCTTAGCAAAGTGAAACTTTACAAAATAAGCACTGAATTACTATATGAAAAGAGTTTTCCAGCTGGGGAGGATTCTGCTTCCTGCTTTGAAAACACTTTGTGGCTCTCCTGAAGTTCCCCGTGAATGCTGTTAGATTTCATCCTACCTCTTCCCAAGGGATACCTTTCCCAACAGAGCTTGGAACCTCACCCAGTGCGTATCTTTGTACTTAAGCACCTTCTTGTCCTTCAAGGGTAGCCAGCTTAGTGGCCAACACAGATTCTATATGGAGAAGAAGCATCTGTTTGTTCACACAAACAATTCAGTTGCGCTGAGCTGGAGGATCAAGAAGATTTTAAATGATTTTTCTTATCCCTCTGTTACGTCAGTGAGTTTGGGAGATTCACACTGTTGATGAGCTTTCTGTTGCCTGATTTTAAGTGAGTCCACTCTGTGGTTCAGTGGTTCATGAGGGGATCATTTTAAGCAGGTTTCAGAATTTTTACAGAATTTTTCTGGGCAGGATGGACTGAGTATTGTCCTGACAGCTCTGTCCTTGTGAGATGTTCCTGTTATACAGAGTAAGGACAACAAGAAGTAGTATAAAATGGGAAATAATAACAATCAAATAAATTATTATAATTTTCATTGAAATTTGGTCTTCATTATAATCTTCCAGAACAGCAATGCCTATGAGATTAGAAGATTTATAAGCATGCATACAGGGCAAAAATAAGAGTTTATGACAGGTTAAGTATCTCTTTAGAGGGTTTCATAGGATACAATTTAACTCCTTGAGTTGGGCTCCAGTGAATCTCCCCTTCCTGCAACCTGGGGAACAGGCTGTCTTTTCCAAATGTTGCAAGAACACGTCCTGCTTACCTGCTGTGCTGCTTCCTATCACCAATTTTCTTCTGCAGAAGCGCTACCCTAATAGAAACTTCGCAACTCGTGTTATCCTTTGTAGCTCCTCCCCTGGTGTTTTTTGTTAATACTTCTTGTGCTTTACAAAAACAGCTTCACTAAACATGCTGATGTGGTGTTCTGCCATTACTTTAACTAGAGGTAGGCTGTTACTGATCTTCAATTAATGCTCCACTAATGGCATCTTTCTTTCTTTTTTTGTTTCTCTTTTCCCCTAGAAGAAGGCTGAAGGTGTGTCACAAGCACCCCAGGCTCAATAACTGCTCTGAAAGAGCTGGGAAACAGAAGGTTTGTTTTGGGTCCCAAGTGTTTCTTCAGATAGAAATACTGTAGTCCCTGCAGAAGGGATCGGGGAGCAGCCAAAAACTGCGTAGTCCAAAGTGCACGGTCCAAACTGTATTCACCACCACCATCCTTGCTGTTGTTTGGAAGGCATTCAAAATGTTAACTGGCCCTATCACTTATACCAAGTCACATGACTGTGAAAAAAAAATTCATATATATGAAGCCATATGAGCTGGAAACCCTGGCCATTTTAGAGAGAATAGTTATGCTCCGGCTGGCTCTTATGGGACAGGATTTCACCCAATAATTTTTCAGTGTTGAAAGCTTTCAGGTTTTCATGCTGTGGTTAGGAGTGTGGTTTAAAAAAGGTAGAAATATGAAAAGTAATTACTTTTTTAGCAAAGGCATGGGCCAGACCCTCAGGGCAGCTTCACTAACTGTAGTGAAACTAAAGTGAGGTGTCCCCTAAAAGAAGCTGCACCACACTTTTGAGGACCCAGTTCTGACAGGGCACTTCTCTGCTCTTTTGGCCTGTAACAACCCAAACAATTTTGACAGAGCATCTCTTTCTGTCCTTTTTTTTTTTTCTGTCTCTCTGTCTTTGCCTTTTCATTAACAAACACTTAATTAGTGGTTCTCAGGCTGGCTTGGTTGCCTCCCCTGGGGACCAGGGAGACTCAAGCCTGCTCTCATGTTCTGTCTCTGGTCGTTGACCAAAGCATAGTCGCTCAGCCACTTTGAAATCAGGCTACCTCAGGCAGTACAGTATCTCCATAAACCAATACACCAATTCCCACAGTCTCTCTTACCAGCTACCACAGAAGTTACTGCCTCTGTTGAAGGACCATGGGAACCACTCAAAGATTCTGGGGGCATCTCTGGGCAAAACTCAGTGGAGGGTCAAGAAGTGAATGAGGCTGAGAACACACACACTGTAAAGCCACTTCCTCTTAGTCATGCGTCATTGGTAACAACCAGGATTCCAAAATAAAAGTAGTCCACTTTTCCCCACAAGCAAGTTTTTAATGCTGCCATAATCTGCTTTGATATACTGGGGTTTGTTTGCAACAAGTTTGGTGCAGAAATGTGTAAAAAATAGAGTATTGTGAGAGGTTGAAATTTTTGGTCTGACTATGCAAAATGAGAACAGATTTTATGCAGTGTAGTGCAGTAATGCAGAAGTTAGTGATCTTTAAATGAACTATCCTGGGGACTTGAAGCTGCCTTTCCATAGTACACTGGAGGTCGATGAGTGGTAAAGTACCATTATTATATCCCACTTGCTCTCTGAAGCCATGTAACTTCCTGATATGGTAATATCTGAGCATCAGCTTCTGTGATGGCAATCCAGTGGTAATGAATACCTCTTTGTGATCCTCACCATTCATCCCCACTTCCCTGGTGCTGGGACAGGTTACATGAAAGTCTACTCACCTGTGTGCTTCTCTGTAGTAGTTTTCTAAACAGGTTTTCCTGACGTGTTACAGGACTAGTGTTTTTGTCTGTATTTCACATTTCAAGCCACTAACTGCACAGCAACCAAATGGTGAAAATTCTCCCTCTCCAATGCAGGAAACACAATTTTCTATTACAACCAAAATCAACTTTGAGATAAATTGACTGTCCAACAGCAGTCAAATTTATTTTTAAATAAACTTTTATAGCTTTGTAACATAGTAACCTACCCATGATCTAACCTGCAGGAAAACCTGGTTTTGGCTTTTGTGGTGTTATTTCCTCTATGTGTGTTTTTCTTTTCGGAGTTTATTTGAGTTTACTTAATGAGTGGATCTAAAGTCATAGCAGTACTTTGTTTTTAAAGAATCCCATTAGCTATTTTTATCAGGCAAGAAGCATGGTTACCACATTTGACCCAACATAATACACTCAAGTGCCAGTTGATTTAGACCTGGCATTGTAAATGCTTGCAGTGGTAACACAAATAAATGGAGAGGTTTGCAGCATGCCTTTTCACGCTGTGATCTGTATGACAAGAGAGGCAAAAAAGCAGAGTAGCTGCATTTCAAAAAAGACCTCCAGGACCATTTCTCCTCTTAACAAAGAGGCCTTGTCTTTTTAGTATTGTATAAAACATCTCACAAATAAGGTGGCTGCAAGAACCCTTTGTAAGCAAGAAGGTTCAGCGCTGCTTTATTTTCCTTATACACAAAGAAACCACCATGTGGTTGTCCTAGAACGCTTAACCAAATAAAAAAAACTATACTGCTGAACTAACTGGATTCTTGTTTTGTTTATTTTGCAGAAAAGCTGCTGTGTGGTTACTGCTGCTAAGAGAATTGGAAATATCAGCAGTCTTGGTGCTTTATCCCTCTGCTGTGACCGAGACTTCTACGAAATGGACCAACAGCTGCAGGACAAGTCCCAGCATTGCTGAGCTGCTGCTTCTCTATTCAGCTGTTGAAAGCTCAACCAAAGTTAAAACCACATCAATGTAATACCAGTGGAAGTGAGAAATGAGGCTTTCCTTGCACATAGGTCAATTTGCTGCAACTGTGAGATGATACATTTTAGGATTTTTTAGCCTGATTAATTACTGTTCGCTTTAAATACACTTGGATTAATTAAACAAGAAGGAAAGCAAGGCACTGTTCACTTGTACCCATGCAGACTCGGTTCTCCAATATGCAAGTATAATTCTGAGTTGTTTTAACAGAGAGTGGTTTTACACCAGCTATTTTGTTTAATGCTAATAGGACTGATTAAGACCATTTGCAAAGAGGAGAGTCAGTCCTCTACTCATTATAACCTCTGGGTACAGGCCCAAATTAAGATCCTCTGTTTTTCTGAAGCTTTATTTTCTTATCTTGCTCACAAGCCTTTCTGATTCTTAACTAGATAAAAAACTGGGAGTCAGAACAGCTGGATTCTTTACCTGAGATGTTTGAGTATGGCTCATCGTTAAGTGAATCTGAGTCTTAGTTGCCCAAGCTGTGAGGTTAAAATAGTGAAATTTATTCCCTGCTGTATATGGCTTTCTGACTGCTTGGTTTCAGAACTACATAAATGCAAAGTATAGTGAGTATTTTATTCAGTGATGCTGACATATTGTGGTGCCTTTAGATTTTCTTTGGTTAATCCAGTTCTGATCAAACTACATATTAACATAGCTATCTCTATATATTTATCTATACATTTCATATGTATTTATATTTAAATTATATCTTTTTTTAAAGGGGATCAACATAAAGACAAAACAGTACTATTCATCACTTAATGAATTGTTTTTCATACCTTTGTCCTTTCTGGATAGCATTCATATTGAAATAAAAGGGGCCCATTAATGGGACATCATGGCCATGACATTCTCTACAGTCACTTTGATCCAATGTTTTAAAGCCATTGTAGTAGATCTCTTAAGACTCCTCCTGTAAATGAATAAGGCTTCTTACAGCTGTGAAATCTAATACTGGTGTGTTGTACTAGTTGTTGCAAATACGTGAGACCCATTACTATTACACAATGACCCACCCTGTAACTATGATACCTTGTAGAGCACTGCCACCTTCAAGTCCTTATCTGTAGTCTTAACTAAAGTAAACTTTGACTAGCAGAAATGGAAGTTTCTTTGGGAAAAGACTAAGCAGTCTCAAAGCAAGAAAATGAGCATATGACTTTTAGATAGAAACTGGGCTGCTTATTTAGTCACCATTTATATTTGCCTATGCAAAATAAACAGAAAAGCTACCTTTCTGTTAGGGCAGGAGTTCCCACTCCTATTCTGACTGCCTTCAAGATATTGTAGCTTTTTGTACAGTAAACAACTCAATGATCAGACTAAAATGTAGCAGAGCACTTTGGAATTACAAGATCTCATTATGCACTTTAGTGCCAGTATTGTGGGATTGGGTTGGGGGTTTTGTTTTTCCTGTGGTAGATTTTACATGGGTATGAATAAATTGCATGTCATTTTTAATCTTATTAACTATACTGAAATAACAGTGTGACTACAGTCTTACCTGCTTTGTTGCTCAGTTGAATTAAGAGGATTTATCATTTGTGGATGTATACATTTGGGTAGTAATTAAGAGCTTACTGCCATAAAGATCAGCCCTGTGTTAGTCTGTTGTGCTGAGTGAGCCACAAATCCTCCAGGAGCTGTAGGAGAACATGGCCTCTGTTATGTACATCTGCAGAGTTCACCTGTACAGTGCTCTGTCAGAAAAATGCACGTGTGAAGTACTAGGGAGGGTGGAAGCGCTTGACCTATTTCACCCACCTTGAAAAGTCAGGCCCTTTTACAAGGCATGAGCTGAGGAGGGGGCACCTCAGTAGCCCCTTGCTTGTGCAAGTGAGCAATGTGCTAATATACTCAAGGGATTTAACTGTCATTCTTACTAACATGGATAATGATGGTCACACTCTTGAGTCTTATCTGTAAACTGCCACACTGTTTCATCCTTGGAACAGCTCCTGTGGTGGGGGATGAGGTTGAGGTGGGGACAGTTGGAGGAGTCTCTACAGTGACTGAAGGTGCCATTTGGTGCCCAGGGTTATGCACAAGCGTGGGCCTCCAGGTGTCTAGTGGAAGAGGAAAAATCCCAAGTGTACCTTTGTTATTGCTCCATAGACTCTAGATATGCAACACTGAGTCAAAAGGGAGGTACATTACCAAGATCATTGTTATTAAGGGTAAAAATTATACCACTGAGTAATTATCACTGCTATGTCTGGTGGTGTGCCTGAGAAAATGTCTCCAGAGACACTAATTTGTATCTTTTCTGATTGTTGTAATTTTCATTAAATAATAACTTGACATGGCTTCTTTTCAGTGGCTTTCTAATTCTATCTCATTGCACTTTGAGCAGCATGCTGTTTTGTGTGTGTGTGTAAGCTTGTTTTCGCTTCCCTTTCCCTTAAATATGTCCCGTAATGACTAATAGCTAGAGACTGCTATATTAAATTATTGTTTTGACACATCATTATTTATTTTCCACTAGGTAATAATAATAAGTCA